CATTCATCCACTCATTCACTCACTCACTCATTCATTCATCCACTCATTCACTCACTCACTCATTCATTCATCCACTCATTCGTTCAGTCACTCATTCAGTCACTCATTCATTCATCCACTCATTTATTCATTCATTTATCCACTCATTTATTCTTTCAATCAATCAATCACTTATTCATTTATTTCATCTGCAGTCGGAGCCCTGACATTTTCATTCCTATGCGTCCTGGGGTCTTCATTGTTTGCCCTGGGCACGCATTTGAGAGGGACGGCCGCCCTTCTACCTGTCATGTTACTGGGCAGGTTGTTGTTTGGGGCGGGCAATGGATCTCTTACAAGTTTGTAGGGGGGCATCAGTAATTTGGTTCTTATAAATGTGGGCTTGTATGTGCTAAATTCGATTATGGTCATCCTGTGCTCTTATAACTTTCCAATTTGACAAGGGAATAAGATTCCATTTCATTTTATCAAAAGAAGCATGTGTGTGCATGTGAATGTACGTGTGAAAGTAATGAACGTGTGTGAAGATTGTTTTTTTTTTCTAAAGTATGTGTACACAATAATGAATCGGTTGAGTGTACTTCAATAGCTAATACATATGTTGCTAGTACAGTACAAGTTACGTTGTATTAAAAAAAATGTGATAAATGATAATTTATAATAAAAAATAATAAATATAGAAAAAAAATCACTAAAATATTTTAGTAACTTTGTAAGTATGCCACCATCCACACACACACACATTTACCGTATCACCATATCCAGTTGTGCAAACTCGTCTGTCTGCCATCTGGTTCAAAGATAAAGAGCTTGCAATGGCATTCGGAGTGACCTTGGCATTCTCAAGGTTAGAATTGAAGTGTGTGCGTGTGTTTACTTGTATATATATGATTCTACTAGTTTGTGTATGTGTGTGTAAGTATGTGTATTGATGTGTGTGTGTACTTGAACGCATATGATTCTAAATGTTGGTGTTTATGCGTGTGTGCGTGTGGTGTGCGTGTGTGTGTGGTGTGCGTGTGTTTGTATATCTTTATATTTAATTTAATGGATTTTGTAATGATTAATCATGACCGTTTTTATAAATAATTATAAATAAATATGTATACTTGTATGTGTTTTTTTTTGTGTTCATAGATATTCAGTCCATGTAGAAAGTTATGTTGTTTTAATAATTTAAAAAAATTTAATATGTATTAATGAATGGATTGAGTGGGTGTTGTAAAATTCTGGGTATGATTCGCAAAAAGTTGATGGCAAAGAAAACAACGTCCTACCTCGGGAAACCGGGACTCTGGACGCAAAACGAAGAATGATTGATTGATTGAGTGGGTGTTGTAATAGCGTGCTGAAATCTATTATAACATTCTTACAATATTAATGATGGTAATGTTCGTTGCTGGTTCCACTGAACTATACATGATTGCAGGCTGGGCAGTGTTCTCAACTTCCTGGTCACCGTCAGCTTTGCCGATCGATTTGGTCTTTCGTGGACTTTGTGGGGAGGTGCGTGAGCTGGATGTCGGGA